CAGAGAATAAGTGAAGAAGTAAGGAATCCTAGGTTTTGGACTCCTTGTGTTTTGCTCTTAGGGAGGCATTTGACTATTCTGCTTTGACTTTGGGACACTGCTCTTCCCGTAGTGGAAACACTCTCCACTGTTTGTGAAATCTTATGTTGCCATAGGGTGGGCAACGCTGAGTGACCCCCATGCTCCATGGTTACCATCTTTCAAGTGAATGTTATTTGCTGAATTTCAAATTGATTCTCTTTGGGTTGAGCAGAAAACTTGGAGAAGAGAAATGAATGAGCATTTTCCAGCGAGACGAAGAATTAAAGAGAGTTCCTTATGCCAGAGTCCCAGCTGAATTTCATCAGAAACAAACATGGGTTTGGTATGCATTTCACAGATGATGGAGGTAACAGTCTCATTCCCATCATCAAGAAGAGAGCATTTATTGCCCGCTTAGAATCACTATAAAGATATTTCCGTGTTATTAGGGTGTTAATGGTTCTACAGAGCTGAAAAACTTTCTGCTTATCTTCAGACTCTGCATAGGTTTATGGCTTTGATTAGACCTGTAGAGATTGATTGGATTTTAGTTGTGGGCAAAATATATTCTTGCTTAATACCTTCATTTCATGGGCAGTAGCACTACACTGTCTTATTGCAATTACATTACAAGAAAATGATCTTGAATAAACCCGAGTGCACCTGACTTGATAGAAGTAGATAATAACTGATCAGTAAAAGTACGAATTTTGAAGAGAGATGTAAGGCACAGGTAAGTATCCCTGTTTTTCTTTGTACTTTTTGCAGTACTAGCCACTCTTGTTATTTTTTGTCACAAGATGAGTATAATGACATCTCTTAAAGGCATTTAGGTATTAGCTTTCACAATACAGTTTGAACTTTCATGAATTCGTGAAGTCTGGGAAATGTTACTGAAGCTCAGGACAGCAGCTTGGCTATTGCAAACTAAGTGAACAGTATCCACTTTTCCTTTTTTTCCTTTCTGTTTTGTTTTTATTTGCTTGTTTGTTTCTTTTGAAACAGATCTCTGGGGAGGCTGAGCTGTGATGGGCAGCTCCTCATTCTCCCAGTGAGTTACCCTTCTGGGGACTTGCTCCTCAAGGCTCAGTAATAATACTCTACATTTTTAAGGAATTTGTGGGAGTGGAGACAATGACTATAATCAGATCTCCAGATTTAATTTTTCTTAAACTTTGGGTGATCACATGTTGCCATGAAGGTCAAGTTCATGTTTAAAAAGCTCTGTCCAGAGAAAGCTTACATGGTGCCAGTGGAAAAGTAAACTACTAGAAGATAATGGCAAGGATTATTCTGTTGCAAGTGGCACGTGCAGTGTTAGATCTCTCTTGAGCAGACGTTTTGTGGGTGAATTGATGTTGTATGTATGATCTTGCACTTTTCAGAGAATAAAGAAATGCTGAAAACAGCATGCAAATTTTTCATTTCCTAACAAAGTCTCTAAATATTTTGGAGATAGTTTACCTTCTTTATAATTGGACTGTGAATGTATGCATGTCCATCACATCAACTGAAACTGCCTATATTCTATTTTTAGTGGATTTCTTAGTAAAGAAGGTGTAGCAGGTAGGAATAGAGTATCTTATTACACTATATTGTTACCTAGTTGACTTGTGTTTGCATGCACAGTCTGCAAAATGTTAAGAAGCCTGCTGTGATAATTTTGGAAGAATGACGCAATACAAAAAATGAACAATACTTTATTGCAGCTATCTAAGGGGAAAATCCCCTTCTGCTTTCATCTTTAAATCCTCAACAGAAGAAAGCTATTTCACCTGGCTCCACACCCGCATAGTTAAAGTAAGGGCAGCTGCAGTTTCCCGCAGTTCTAGGATCAAGGTGCTGTCCTTCCAGTTTTTAGATGTTGCTCTCTAAATAGTAGAATTGAAATGTTACAATGTGTGTTGTAGTTTCAAGCTGCTAAGTAATTTCATTATGTTTAATTAGCAGGCCACTGAGGGAATGTTTACTTCAAACAGGAGGAGGGTTAGATGTGAACCAGCAGAAATGTTCAAGTCCACCTATTGTCTAGAAAAGCTTCCTATGTATGTAAGGAAATTTGTAAAAAAAACTCCTCCACTTTTCCTAGATCAATGAAACAGTCCCTTATTGCTGCATGTTACAGGCAAAATTCTCGTTTTTTTTAATTACAAAACATTTAAAAAATCTTTTTAATCAAGCCATATGAATTGTTGAACAGCTGTTGAGGGATTAAGAACAAATTACTCAAAAGATGTAACCCCATAGCATATCATTAATAAAGATGACATTGTTCAGTGGATACAACCAACAGGGAAGTTTTGTCAGCCAAAGCATGAAAATGCTGCCTGAAAAGACTGCAGATTGTCAGTAATTCCTTGAAACCAGATATATTCCCTGTCTGACTTTACAAGTAGCTCGGGATTCTTCTAAGTAATCTCCTGCCACTTGAAAATTAGCCAAATAGTTTTTATGGTGTTCAAATACATTGTTTTGATTTATGTTTGTTTTCTGCTTTGTAGCCAGAAGACAAAGACACGCAAAGCCATAGTGACGAATCACTTTCAGGTAATATGTCAGCTTTACTGTTCTACATATTTTTCTTTGAAAGTACTTTATTAAAAACTGCTGTTTGTCATAACCAAGAACCGCCTGGGTAGTCAATGCTTGTGGCGCTCATTTCATTACCAGTGTCATTTACAGCTTCCTCTTTGTTCTAAAGGGGGTGGTTATCAATAATGCAGACCATATAAAATGTGTAAGTTGGGCTTTCCAAATACATCTAGTACATCCACCTTTGGAAGAAATCTGTAAACAGCTACCTGGAGAGAGCAGAAGCTGGCGGTGGGCTGTGGGGGCTTATCCCATAATTGCATGAGCTCTGCTGGGGGTCGGGTTTGTGTGGATGATACACAGCCCTGTTGATCTAACAGTGAACAACTGAGAATTTCCTGTTAGTAAAGAAGCTGGTCCTATCATGTAGCATTAGGATCATGCAATTAGGTGGGTAGGTCATCATTTGCTCATCAGTATCTAACATGGGGCATCTTAGAAAAGCAGGATTCTTTATAATGCTTTTGATAGTCTACACACGGTATAGCGCAAGAAGCAGGTTGGTTTAGTTTTGTTTACCTATAACTGTGCCCTGTGTTTTCTTTACCCCTTCTTCCCTGCTTCTATTGGAGGATAAAACTTACTCTGGCATCCTTGCAAAGCAAAATAAGATGAAATTCCGATAGGGTGCTCTCCTGCCCTTTGAGCTCAGCCAGAACTTTGGATTACATTCATTTTGCCTTGTTTGTGTAACTAAATCTTGGTATGAGCGAAGCAAGCAAATTTTGTCTCGCTTCAGCAAGAGTTTAGGGTGCACAAGAAGAACAGAATAGTTCACATATGTATTTCTGTAGAGAACAGCTGCAAGGCCTGTGAAATACCTGTGAGCAAAGATGTCACCAGAACATATTTCCCCTTAACAGAGAATCTAAGCATTTGTATGGAGTTATGTGTCTGCAGCAGTGTTGTTGCTGCACGTCCTAACTTGTTGAAAGTTGTCTTTGGCCTGCTAAAAAAGCAAGCCGATGAGCAGCTTTACAAAAATAACAATAGCTTGTTCTTCCCTTAAAAACAAAGTGCATGCAGAAGCTACATCCAGCTGAGTTGCTTTTATCAGCACTAATATTCAGAATAAAAAAATCACAATTTGACGGTCTTTCTGGAATTTTCACACAATCTGACAATAATTACTGCAAATGAGAAAAACCCAAATGAGAAAACCTTAACAGATGCTGTTGTCTGTGTGAGTAGGTGGCACTGAGTACCAGATTTGCCCTTTGCCAGAGATACAGTTCAGGTCTCTTAGACCAGCACTGATCCAGCACTTGTAAATTGTGTGTCACTGTTTTCTGTTGTTTTTAATCACTCTTTTGATTAATATCATTTTTCTTATTTTGTAGTGTCCCTTTTTCAAAGAGTTTTACCCCAAGTAGGACCAGTTACTTCCCTATTTCAAGCTGTACAGTGAGGTTGGAGGGCAGAAGCTTTAGAAGGTGCTTCTAGGCTGCATCCATTTTCTATGACTCTTTGAACATACCAAATTCTTCCTGTCTTCAAAAAGGAGCAGGGAGAGCTGAGGTCATATCTGCAACCAAAATGCTCAAACAATGCCCTACACCACTGCAATGTTAAAGGTCTTAGTATTAGTATTTAACTAGAAGTATGACTAGAACTGGTTTCTACATGCTTTTACGAGTTATTAATATATCATACAGTCTGGTAGCACCACATTGTTCACAATGTTGGGGAGATATTGACTGTTGTGTGTGGGAGACCTCTAAATGGCAATTTTCGGTATTTGATGTAGATCTTAGAACGTATCACCACCTACTTCCAGCAACTTGGTATTTTTATTTTTCTCACACATGGAGGAGTATGCACTTTATTCCTTTCCATAATGTACATTTAAAATAGGCTTGCTTGGTAGAACAGGGACAGCTTTTATTGTAAGAGCCCTTACAAAGCAAAGGAACATTTCCACTTTTTCATTGTGTTAAAGTACTAGATGTTACTTGTGTTTGCAGCTGTCGGCAGAGATTCTCCCGGTGCAAATATTTCATGTTGTTATGAAGGCAGCAGCTCAGAAGTGCAAAACCTTTTCCTTCATCCTACAACATATGCATACAAGATGCACATAATGTGCACATAATCCTGTTGGTGATGTAAGCAGGGCTTATGGCAGATTCAAGGAAGCAACATAGTTCCCAAAAACAAAAAAGGGGAATATCCCAGCTCACCACTGTATTGAATTGCATGCCTTCTCTATAGAAGTATAAATATGGTACTTTCAAAATTACTGTCCTTTTGATTATAGCCACTAAGCGTAGTGAAGAGAGAAGTCTTAGAAAGTTAATTTCATGAGTACTTCATATGGAAAGGCATTACATGTCACTATTCTGACTTTTTCAGAAACAATTTACAGGAACAGAATACTCTTCAACCCTTTGTGCTTTTAACATTTTGTTCCTGGTGAAACCACAGCAATAGATCCTAACTTCTCCCCTTGTAATGGTTTTCACTGCAGACCTCAAGAAAACCTGCAAGGAAAATGGCACCTGCTCCTTGTGCTTATTCCGTGCACCGACCATCAGTGACATGCTCAATGATGAGGACTTGTTGTACACAGTGAGGCTAAAGCTGGATCCCTGCCACCCAACGGTGAAAAACTGGAGAAATTTAGCAAGCAAATGGGGGATGACTTATGATGAATTGTGTTTCCTTGAACAGAAGCCCCAAAGTCCCACCTTGGAGTTCTTGCTACGGAATAGTGACAGGACTGTGGAGCAGCTGATTGATCTCTGTAAATTTTATAAGAGAATTGATGTTGTGAAAGTGCTGCTGAAATGGGTGGAGGAGGAATGGCCCAAGAGAGGGAACAGAAGTTACCAGAATGACTTCTAGGTCAAAGGAAGTTGTTAGTCTGTACGTGTTAAATGCTGGGACTAGCTGCCACTAGTACATGGGAAGTTTCCCTTGCAAGAGGGAGCGAGCCTGTACTGACGGTTTGTATACTGTGCAAGCTTTATGTACTGTATACACATATATATGTTCTGTGCCCTCATGGTTGCAAAGATAACCTTCCAAAAATGGATGGAATAATGCAGGTCATGTTCTTGAGTCTACAAATGCCTTCAGTTTCTTTGCTGCTGTTCGTAGGCTTCCTAAGCAGAAGAGGAATGAAAAAGCCAAACCACTGGTTTTACTGCAGCAGTTGTGAACCATGTCAGTTGTGTGCTGTTGCTTTGGGGAAAGCCACAATTAGAAGGCAAGTCTCTTGGCCTTTCTGGCAGCCCTTCCACAATTTTATATGTTCTACCTAGTAGAAGATGAGGGGTTATTTTTTTCTTCCTTTTTTTTTTTTAATTTTTTTTAAGCTTTATGACACTGTTTTTGGCACAGGAACGCCTCAGTGTTCCAAGCAGCAGTTTGGATTTGCATGTTACAATTAATTCAATGTTACAACATCACATTCAGGCAAATTAAACTTTAAATCTCTTTTATAAACAAGAATAGATGTTAAACAAAGTAATTATTTGCATACTTCTATATCATAGGACATATATTTGCTATAGAAGAAATCATGCAATTCAGAGAGACTTTCCAGCCCATAACCACTAGGGACCAAAAAAACCAATTAAAAAGCTTTATACTTAAAATTACTTTCCAAAGTTTTGAAGACAATATACACTCTGAGTGCACTTATCTGTTAATCTCAAATGCCTCCACTTTGCAGTGTGAGGTGACGGCTAACGCCTCACCCACAGTATATCCTTAGTATTGAGTATAACTCCCATTTTCACAGGCAGTGGTTTTCTTTACAGTCCTGTGGGTTGTCCTACTTTCTGTCCCACGCCAAAGTAGTTGCACACTTGCGTGAAACTAGCACAAATTTATGTATTGATTAAAGCCACTCTAATGGGAAATTAACAGGTGAATTCATCTACAGTCCAGGTGGATGGTTATTAAAGCACTTGCGGTGGTTTTGACTGATGTTTCTCAAAGAATTTTGATACTCTGAATTACACTGTTTACATTTAAAATATTTTAGAAATTGGTCTTTTTCCTGCCATTCTTCTGCGTTCTAATGTTTTAAAAAAGCTCCTGAAAAATCAGTTATAAAATACAATGTATAAAGTACTTATAGCTATAATGCCACTCACAAAAATGTTGTGACTTAAAAAATACTTCTAGTTGTTACCCTTACTAAAAGCATCTCAGACAATACTAATATGTACATAGGTGTATATACCAAAGCACTGGTGAACACAGTATGTCAAGATGTGGGGCAAAACTAGAATGGGGTACAGGTTGATGCACCGTGTACTTTTCTTGAGTAGAAATGACTAAGAATTAGTAGCAAAGCTGAGGGAAGTCTAATGCCATATACTGAGTTTCTTACTGTAAGAGAATGAAGAGGGACCTCTAGTAATACTATACTATAGATGCTGAGTGATATGGTTACAGAGGAGTTAGAAGTAAAGACTAACATTTTCTGTGTCAGGCACTAGTTCTGGGGTGACGTAAATTAGCTTTATTTTCGTGACTTCAAGAAGCTGAAGATCTAGTTTCAAGGTGAAAAGACTGACCTCAATTTGAGGTTTGAATTTTTTCTTTTTTTAAAAGCTTGTGGAAGACTGGAATTTTCATAACTTGGTTTTTTAACCATTCCTCAAAAAGCTGCTACTCTTTGGAACAGTAAGTTTTCTAGCCATATTTTAAAGAGGGAATTGTACTGCTGTGTTTTGTTGGGGCTGCAGTTCAAATGTTTCATATTCCTCTTCTAGGAACAGTGTTTTCCCAATTAGATGTCTGTCAACTCTAACTTTTGCAAATAATCTTCTGTCTTTAGTTAGGAGTTCTAGAATCAGCTTTGAGGACTACTGCTGTGGCGGGGCTGCCTGCTATTTTCAGTTCCTACAGAGGCGTCCACTGCGTACGTACAAATAGGTCATAATGCAGCTTGTCCAACATAATCCCCATACCTTGGGCCTATTATATGCATGATTTAGGATCATGTGTCTGTGTGTTAAGTTGCTCTTTTGAGTGATGAGTGCTGGCATGTACGCCCACAGCTTTTCCCTCCCATAACATACCACAGCTATATGTGTCTAGTATTACGGCATGCTCTGCTTTGGTAGATCCAGTCCAGCAAGGAGCTGGAGCCCTCACCTAAGACTCACAGTGGGAACATGAAATGATGTAGCAGCGTTTCTGAATCAAGATGTTCAACTGAAATCTACCCCTTTTCCTGTTTTCTGGCTACAACTTGCAAAATTTTGGAGAAACACTGTTGTCTTGTGGAAATGAGTTCTGATCCCTCGAAGCTCTTGAAAAGTCCATGTCAGCTGCAAGGATTCATGTCTGATGGAAATAAAGCTGCTTCTGAGAGTTTACATGTGGATTCTGTATAAATTCAGCACTGAAGGTTGAAAACGTTAGCTTTAAACTTCATCACACACTGGATTATTCATTAGTATACTTGAAATATTTTTTTCGTCTTTGTATGGCATGAATTGAGATGTACACACTTTTTTTAGTTTTATATCTGTTTATAAGATACTGGGTCTGAGTGTTCAGTTTATTCTTATATCTTCTGTTATAATGTATACTATTTTTAGAAGAAATATAGTTTGTCAATGTTTGACTTTATTGTATTTTTTTTTATTACAGCTAGGAAAACAGCTGTTTTCCTTCTCACCAGTCACCTTGGAACTACTGAACTATCAACTAGTTGTGCTATGTAAAAAAAAAAAAAAAAAATCTTATATACAAGATTCATGGCGTCTTAAAGCACCTATGTTTGCAACAGATGCTGCAGATACTACTTTTTTTAATCTTTTCCATACGCAAAATGAGTTAATTTTGGTAAGATGATGAACAAAGATGTTTATCTAGAAACTTGCAGCGGAGTTACTCACCATAGAGAGGTATGAAACCTACACTGGGTGAACTCTTCCTGAATTAACAACCAATCTGATAATGAAGGTTAGAGAATCACATGGACGCTGAAAAGGCTCTACTAGACTATCAGTTTTGTTCCATTATATCTTTCACCTATTCCCACATGAGACCCGCTCTCCCTTCAGGGACTTCCAGTTCTTTGGCTGCTATCTCTGTGCCTCCAGGATAATCAGTGGCCCTTCCCACCCACTTTAGCTTCCATGAAGATATCCAAACCACTATATTCTTTCTTTCCTGCACGTTTATCTAAGACATGGTGAGCCTAATAACTGTTCTTCAATAGCAAAAGTACAGTCATGTGCTCCAAGAGCCCCTAGTTTTGCTGTGAGGTCAACTACGGGGCATCCCCCAAAAAACAGTGATAGTATCCAGTTGTCTTACTCGCTGCATGCACTTCCCTTTGATCTGTGGAGAAGAATGCAAGATGGGCTTGGGGCTGTCCTTTGGAAGTCTACCATAAAGGATAGGGTAATCAGCATGGCCCCAGGTGCTTGCTTGGAAGTAAGTTGTACAGAAACCATAAACCATACTTCTTCCTGAATCACTACTGAATAATGGAGACCTGCAGCTCAGTCTGGGCAATGCTTCATGCAAGAGACTGCGTATTTTTCACTGTCTCAAACTGACTGCCTCCCACAGTTCGAAATCAAGCTGTTAGCAAGTGGAAAAAATGTAAATTCTGCCTTCTGGTGGTTTAAGTTAGGGTAACACTGTTGACTTGTGGCCAGACATAGTTGGAAATTATTTGTCAGAGAGCATAACTGTTTAAACAAGGTCAAAGAAAGTGCATGGCATTTATAATAACTTAAAGAGCAGCCGACTTCTGTAATTTTTGTGGCATATCATGTTCTCTATCCATGAAGGAAAAGCTAATTATTCATAACTAATTTCAATAATCTTGTAAGTCTTAAGGTTTGGGTCAGTTTTGGACAGTAGGGCAGAGCACCATTAAATGATGATGTGGGCTTGTTGCCTGTTTTGTCAGAAAAGTGCTTTTCCTTGTCCCTGAGCTCAGCTAGTCCTGATTGTATGGCTATGGTCGGTTGTTAGCCTTAGCTGGGTAGGGAAGGTATGGATCTACTGGTCAGACAGGCTGAATACGAGCAGCACTAAGAAGTATTTGGAAAGGTGGAGTCTGTAGTATTTGTAAGCCTGTACCTTGGCCTAGGACTGGGACTGGGACTGACTCCATCTTACAAGAAACGGATGGCAAAGAGGAGTTGACAGACTTGGGAAAAGGCTTGCCTGTACCCTCTTTTTTGGGGGGAAGGGGCAATTAAACAGCCGGGCAGACTTACTAGTTGGTTTGATCTCTGTATTTTACCTTTGTAAAATGGTGGTTCTTGATTTCAAAGGCAGGTGGTTGGGGTAAATGTATATTTGTTACTGTGGTAATGAGAGTCACATGGGAATCTTAAATGTGAGAAAGATAAAGCAGTGCAAGTCTTGTTAGGATGGGATCAGCAGGGTTGGCTTTAGCCTTTTTGAACTCCGACATGAAAGAGTATTGGTGTGTTGGCTTTGTTCAGGCTTTGTTTACTGGCCTTCACAGTGCTATGAAGAAGAGGATTAAAATTGGAGAAGAGATGAGAAAGAAGTAGCTTCTGTCAGAAATAATTAGTGAGAAGTAATGCCTATGGTGTTAACTTTGTCTTTCCTCTGATGTATGTACAGAAATAGTTTCCTTGACTGAAAATCTTATTTATTTACAGCTGCATCTTTCAAATTTTTTTGAGAAAATTCCAGAAACAAGACCAAATGTGTTAGTAACTTGGAGAATAATAACTTGGAGAATAGTAACTTGGAGTGTTCTGTGTATCTGTGTACAGCACGAGATAGATATGCAACTTTACGTATCCACATAAAGGTGCTTTTTTTTTAATTATCAGTTTGCTTCAAAATTACCCAATATTTAGTTTGGGAATGCTTTTTGTCTCAAA